CCCCAATAACCGTATTCTTTCTCTCCATCTCATAGATGAACTGTTCCTCTGTTGGTTTGTTGCCTAGATGATCTGTCCAGTACTGAGAAAGGTGTGATCAAGTCCTCCCCTATTATCGTAAATCAGATGCTTCTTCTATTACTCTGGAGTGTGCTTTGTGAAGAGAGAGGACCTCTTCTTTTTTCTGGTCTCCGCTGATGCCTCTCCTTGTGTCGATGAAGTTGGGAGCCTGGCATGCCATCTGCATGCATGGTGGCTGTGACTGCTGCTATAGAGCCTAGCCGCTTTTGCAGCCACCATGGCAATTGTGGTGGCTATGGTGGGCTACCCATGTGGAAATGGTGATTTTGGTGTGCTCTTTACCTAGTTGCAGCTGGGTTCAGCTTCCCCCAGCTCCATACCTCCGGACCCGAGCAGGGCCCCAGGGCAGTGGCAGCAGCTTGCCTAGTTGCGGATGGGTTCAGCTTCCCCCAGCTCCATGCCTCAGGATCCTGGCGGGGCCCTGGGTATGTGTGTTTTTTTGGGTTTATTTTGGTAGCTGGTGGATATGGGGATCTGAACCCTTTACCTTGGTGTTATCAGCACCACACTCTAACCCAGTGAGCTAACCAGACAGCTCTAGAATTTTATTTTTAAAGCTTAGAAAATACGGAATAATAAAAACTATTCATAACCCCATCACTACAAGTTGACAATGATTTCCACCATGTTTTTTCAAGACAGGGTTTGTAGCCTACTTTTGTTACTACGTTGTTGCTTTTTAATTTGGTGTCTTGGTTGTTCTGTCTTTGTAGGTCATGTGGACAAAAGAGCATGGGATGACAGATCCTGGCTAAGCCCTGCTGGAAGCCAGCTCTGTGGCCTCCACCCATCTGGGCCTGATCATAAACCAGGACTTAGGACTCATGGTCTCTAGGTCCCTCCAGCTCTGATGCTCACCAGCACACTGGCTTATGTCACCACAGGGCGGGCCTAATGGCTGACTTAGTTTTTTGTCCCCAGAACAGGAAGAGAGGAACCGGGAGGCAGTGGAGCAGTGGCGCCAGTGGCATTATGACAGCCTGTACCCACCGTATCTGTACAACCGCCACCACACCTGACCTCAGCCTGCAGCAGGTGGGAAGATGCAGCTTGGTCTCACCAGGTCTCACCAGCACACTGGCTTATGTCACCACAGGGCGACATAAGTCTCCAGGTCTCACCAGCACACTGGCTTATGTCTGACCTGACATATTCACACCTGACCTCAGCCTGCAGCAGGTGGGAAGATGCAGCTTGGAACTCCACCCCCCACCACCATGTTCGAGCAACTCTCTCCCCAACAAATGGGCCCCTTCAGAGGGTCTCAGCTGGATGCAGTGGCCACAGGCTGATAAATACATGTGCCTTTGTGCTGATGCATCACAGAGCCCCGGCTCTCACTTCTTCGCAGTGATTTTCCGAGGTGACCAACCACCGACAGGGCCTCCTAGCACCAAACCTGCAGTAGTTCCCTTCGCTTAGTTCCCAGAGTAAGACTCCTGTCTGATAGCACAGTTGAAAGAAGCACAGTACAGAGAGGAGACATGTTAGCTCATAGCTCACAAGTACAAATGCTGAACCGACCATGTGTATTGTCTCCCCAAAGCTCACACTGAGTGGCTTCCACTTGCCTCCGCGAGTAGCAGCGTGATTCCGGCTGACATGGTGTCACAAAGCTGGAACTTGGGGAGCACTGCTGAGTATCCTCGGTGTGTCTCAGCAGGTAGTCATGCAAATGAAAACAACACACTAATACAATCGCTTTGGTAAAACCCTTCTTCGAGAGGCTCCTGAGCCCAGGTGCTTCCCTGTATCTCTGAAGAGTCTTAAGGTTCAACTGTGATTTCTTAATTGTATCATTTAGAAGCCAGGGTTACGACAAGGCCAGTCATGTAAACAAAACTGGAAAGCAGATAACACTTAGTTTTGTACCACCTCACTGCTCTCCAGAGTGCCTGCCTTCCTCCGTCCCCAGGGCTGCTGTCACGAAGTACCGCACACCAGGTGGCTTTAGACAGTGGAAACTCGTTCTCTCACAGTTCTGGAGGCCAGAAGTCTGAAATCAGGTGTCAGCAGGGCCACTCTCCCTCCAGACGCTCTTCCTGGGGGACGAAACGTCCCCACTCTTCCAGGTTCTGGTGGCCCAGGCTTTTCTTGGCCTGTGGTGGCAGTGCTCCCATCTCTGTCTCCATCATCACATGGCCTCCTACCTGTGTGTCTTGATCTCATCTTCCCTCTGTGTGTATGTCTATCTGTGTCTCTTCTCCTCTTCCTACAAGGACACCCGTCATATAGACTTTAGGGCCCACCCTGCTAAGCGCATCAAACTTGATGACATCTGTGAAGACCCTTGTGTGAGTGGGGAAAACACACACAGTCTTTCGTCCCTCACAGCACAATCAAGCAACAACACGGAAGACCGACTTCTGGGACCAAATGGATGGCAATTTCTCCCTACAGGCAAATAAGCCAGCAGTTTTGCAGCAGACACTGACAGGGTGCCCTCCAATTCAATTCCGACACAATCTGCCTGGAGCTAATGTCAAATCCCACAGGGTGACGAATCGGTCCCCGAAGACTGCCCCCACTTCAGATGCCAGTCACAAGTCCAGGCCTCTGGAACTTCTGGCCAACCATCTATAATCAGGGTTCCCACAACCCCTTCTTTGGGTTTGATTAGTTTGCTTGGGGGGCTCACAGATCTCAAGGAAACATGTACTTACATTTACTGGTTTATTGTAAAGGTTATTACAAAGGATACAGATGATGAAATGCACAGGGCAAGGTATCGGGGGGAGGGGTATGGAGCGTCCATGCTCTTCCCAGGGCCCACCACCCTCCAGGGACCTCCACGTGTTCAGCTCTCCAGAAGCTCCCCAAAACCTGTGCTCTTGGGTTTTTATGGAAGCTTCATTACTTAGGTGTGGATTGGTTAAATCATTAGCTACTGGTGATCTGCTTAACCTTCAGTCTCTCTCTCTCTTCCCTGAGGTTGAGGGGTGAGGCTGAAAGTCCTGCCTTAGTCTTTCTATGACCAGCCCTTATCCTGAAGCTTCCTAAGGGATTCCAGCCACCATCAGCATACAAAAAGATTCATCATTTTGGAGACTCTAAGGATTTTAGGAGTTCTATGTTGGGAGATGGGGATGAAGACCAAATATATATTTTTGCTCTATCACAACCTTATTTCCAAATAAGGTCACATTCACAAGTACTGGGGGTTAGGACTTCGACAGGTCTTTTGGGGTCACAATTCGACCCATATCAGTGTCCCTTCCCTCCCTCGCAACCACTTTGTGTTCTTGCCTCAAACTCACCATCTGTCCCACTTCCACTCTAGCTCCCAGCTCACCTTCAGGAATTCCACACTAAGAATGTGGAGAAACCGATGGGCCGGCCCAGTGGCGCACTGCGCTAGTGCGCTGCTTGGGAAGCGCAGAGGCGCTCCCACCGAGGGTTCAGATCCCACATACAGACCGGTTCCCGCTCACTGGCT